TGGAATAATTATTATAAAACTAAATAAAATATTTCACTCAGAAAATAATATATAAAATGGAAAATGTCGATGGTGATGTGTGTAAAATGCCAGCGGAAGTAATGAAATATTTACGAATTGTTACATTGCATAATATTCGTACAATCATAAGTGCGATGGAATACTGGTGCATGACAATACATTTCCAGTTTCCTGCATGTTCAATTTCTATCTGTGCAGTTGACTAGCCATTTTATGTATTTTGTTCAGTTATCAACTTTTCTAACATGCAATATTTTACAGAATTTCCTATTGACTTTTGAATAATGTGAATAAACATAATTTGTAGATTTTTCGTAACAGTATAATTAAACAAAAATTTAGTTTTTTTATTTTTTCGTTGTAAACTTTTGAATAAGTGACAATTGAAATTTTTGTGACATTTATGGATTTGTTTCCAAGAATTAAAAGTTGTAAGTGAATGATAAGAATAGAATATGAAATAGTGAATTTTTAATATCATTATTATAAGATAATTATCATTCAGAAATAAATTTGTAACGAAGAAAATTTACACATTTATTTGTTAAAATAATTTAATCATAATTTTTAACAGATATATTAAGTACAGCATTTTGTAAATGAAGAATTAAAATTTATTAACATGTAGCAATTATTATTCACAATTTTTAATTGAAAAAATGAATTAAACTAATTTATTAGCAAAATGATTAACGTAGTTTATTAACATATTAATCTTTAATAAAAATATCTTTAAATAATAATTAACAAACAATGAAAAGGTATTAAACAAAATTATTTATTTGTATTGTACCATACTAGATCAAAATTAATATATTATAAAATATATAAATTAATGGATGACGGTAATACCATGATTGAACACAAATAAATTTTTTAGTATAACTACTGAATTATGTTCCATGAGAAATGTTTGCTCAACATACATATATATATGATGTTAGATCGAATACCAGATTAAATACCTCCTTGGTCAAATGCACACCTACTGCAATGATTTCTTTGATTAGTAAAATCTCTTGTAGTGTCGTGCCCTTTTATAAACTGGATTTCCTTGAGACTTTCTACGGGCATTATGACATGAACATTATAGTATAGTACCATATATAAATGCATGTATCTAAAAATCTTCGGATGAAGTATTATTTATCATTAAATGATTGTCATTCTTGCATCTATTTCTCTTATATAATAGAAAAGAATTAAATTATTAATAAATTATTAATACACATTGCTGTGTGTGTTAAAATTATCAATTTAAAATTTACTATTTATTTAAAATTATTATTAATTTAAGTTAATTAAATTTGATTATTATGCCACAATATGTTCCAAAAATTTTTATTACTCTATTTATCTTTATATATATATATATACACTGTATATATATACTGTATATATACTGTATATATACTGTATATACATAATGTATATATATACTGTGTATATATACTGTATATATACTGTATATATATACTGTATATATATAGATACTGTATTTATCTTTATATATATATATATATATA